ATTTATTTATGATAGTCACAGAGAGAGAGAGAGAGAGAGGCAGAGACACAGGCAGAGGGAGAAGCAGGCTCCATGCACCAGGAGCCCGACGTGGGACTCAAACCCAGGTCTCCAGGATCGCGCCCTGGGCCAAAGGCAGGCGCCAAACCGCTGCGCCACCCAGGGATCCCAGTATCCCAATTTCTACTGCAATTCCAAACACAGAGTATGTACTCTAATTGGATGAGTAAATCATGAACCAATTCCAGGAAATTGTTGAATCAAAGTGTGATTCCTTTCAGGAGTCTGTGTTTTAGAAGAGGGCAGCAATGAATGGACAATGCTTAATAACCCAAGTGGAATTGACCCAACTAGTGGAATTACAGGCAACAGAGAGCCAGATGAGGACATTTATGAGCAGGGGACTCTGCGGTGCCCCATCAATCATGCCACATCATGATGTTACTCTGAGGCTCTCAGAATGTCAGGCCATAAATGGATCATCATAGTCTGCTGTTGGACCCCCTGTTGCTGCTTGCTTTTCCTGAGCTGCTCTCCCCCATTCAACTTTTATTTGTTTACTTTGGCCCAATAGCAAATCAGCTGTAGCACCTTCTTCTAAAGAGCCTGGTAGGGATCCCTGGGTGGCGCAGCGGTTTGGCGCCTGCCTTTGGCCCAGGGCGCGATCCTGGAGACCCGGGATCGAATCCCACGTCGGGCTCCCGGTGCATGGAGCCTGCTTCTCCCTCTGCCTGTGTCTCTGCCCTCCCCCTCTCTCTGTGACTATCATAAATAAATAAAAATTTAAAAAAAAAAAATAAAGAGCCTGGTAGACACAGAATCTCCTAACGCCAAACCTTTTAGGCTTTTATTGCTGCCAGCAAGACTGTAGAGATTGACAGTGGCAGGCCTGCAACCAGGGGCTCTGGAGGGCTGGATCACCTCCTCAACAGGCCACAGACATTCTGGGGTTTGGCTTCAACTTTAGCTTCTCTTATTTGTTCAGGTGTCCAGTTGTATACAATCTGCCTCTGCATGCCTCCCACTACTGGGCTGACCCAGTTCAAGCCCTTGCTTGCCTCTTACCTAGATTATTTCAACCATCTACCTCTTAATGACTCTACCTGTTGCTCATTGTGGTAAGATGGAGAGCTATTTGACCATGATCTCAAATTTATGATTAGCCTCCTACTGGGATTGCTACCTGGCAATCTCTAGTCAGGGATAAGGCCCAGAAAACACAAGCCGTTTAGTACCATCCAGGTGAGCTGGACTGAGCCACACCTGAACTGGGAAGTCTCATTTGGACCCAGGGCCAATGGTGCTCTCTCATCCTTGACTTCAGTTAGAATCATCTGCGGAGGGCGGTCCCAGTGGCTCAGCGGTTTGGTGCCGCCTTCAGTCCAGGATGTGGTTTTGGGGACCTGGGATGGAGTCTTGCATCCGGCTCCCTGCGTGGAGCCTACTTCTCCCTCTGCCTGTGTCTCTGCCTCCCTCTCTCTCTCTCTCTCTCTCTCTGTCTCTCATGAATGAATGAATGAATGAAATAAATAAATAAATATAAATAATTTAAAAAAATAATCATCTGAGGAAACAAATTTTCATGTCTAGTCCCCATCCTTTGAGCTTCCTGACTAGGATGAGGCCTGAACATGTTTATTCTTTCTTCTGAAATGAACTTTTGTGTAAGTACAAAAAGTACTTTTGTCCAAAGAAATGTTACAAGTTCATCATTAGTACATGTTTAACTTATTATTACAAATTTTCATTATGGGGCATCTGGATGGCTCAGGTGTCTGCCTTAGGCTCAGATCATGATCCCGGGGTCCTGGGTTTCTTGATGAAGTCTCTAGGGTTTTTTTTGAAAGATTTTATTTATTTATTTGAGAGAGAGAGTGCACTATACAGCATGAGCAGGGGGGAGGGACAGAGGGAGACAGAGAAGCAGGTTCCCCACTAAACAAGCAGCCTGATGCAGGGCTCAATCCTAGGACCCTGGGATCGTGACCTGAGCCAAAGGCAGATACTTAACCAACTGAGCCACCCACATGCCCCCCAAAAGTAAAATCTTTAAAAATAATAGAAAAGAAAGTTTAAAAAAAATTTTCATTACAATTTTGTTACAAAACGTTCCATGGAGTACACCTATTTAACCATTCACCTGCCATTTATTGAAGATTTAGTTTGTTTCTGATTTTTAGCTATTACAAAAAGAAACATATGAGATCATTCGTCACATAAATTGTCCTTATTTGAGCCAGTTTGCTTTTTGCTAGGAGAAATTTCCAGAAGTTTTATTACTGGACAAAATAATATGAAAGTATTTTAGACTCTTAATATCGTCTAATTGCTTTTCAAAAGGCTCCTAACCAATTTACACACTTTTGAAAATGGATGAAAAATTCTATTTTTATCCAACATTGGTCATTTGCTAACATTTAAAAAATTGTATTCTCTATTTCAGTATATACATCTATATTTGAGGCTTTTTTTTTTTTTTTAGATTTTACTTATTTATTCATGAGAGAGCCAGAGACATAGGAAGAGGGAAAAGCAGACTCCTTGCGGGGAGCCTGATGTGGGACTTGATCCCAGGGCCCCAGCATCATGACCAGAGCCAAGGCAGGCGCTCAACCACTGAGCCACCCAGGTGCCCCAGATGTTTCTATTTTTTCAAAGCTCCCCAGGCATTTCTCAGGTGGAGCCTGGGTGGAGAGCAATAGTAGAGCTGTACTGAATGTTGCCAAGCTCTATGTCCCGTTTTCCTCAACCTCTGGAGATCCTTTGCTCTGATACAAATGCCCATGAAAAGTGTCCCAAGGAAATGGGTACCAAAGTAAAGAGGAGGTTTCTTCCTAATTAAGGCTTAGGGCCAAGTAGGCCCAAGTCATCCTCCCTGGCTCTTCTTAGGGAGGGGCCTTTCCACTCGGTCTGCCTAGGGTTGGAAGTGACCCAATGAGAACCAAAAGTACATGGCCCCAAAGAGAGAGAACAGGAAAAAAAAAAAAAAAAAAAAGGAACTGTTCTGCATCATCAGGAGCTTGGAGCCTCTCTCCAACTCTCACAGAGTCTACTTCCTGCCCTTGGGCCTGAGTCACAGAAGCCTCTGGCCATGCTGATCACCCACATCAAATGTGCCTCCTCCATACTATATCCCCATAGTCTTGGGGGTTTTAAATTGCTTTTTTATTTTTAAAATTAATTAACTAGGGACGCCCGGGTGGCTCAGTGGTTGAGCCTCTGCCTTCGGCTCAGGGTGTGATCCTGGGGTCTTGGGATCGAGTCCCATATCAGGCTCCCTGCATGGGCCTGCTTCGCTCTCTGCCTCTCTCTCTCTGTGTGTCTCTCATGAATAAATAAAATCTTAAAAAAAAAATCCTGAAAAAAAAATTTAATTAACCTAATTTAGAGGGAAAGAGAAAGAAGGAGAGCATGGGTGGGGGGACAGAGGGAGAGAGAGAATCTTAAGCAGGCTCCACGCCCAGCACAGAGTCTGACTTGGGAGTCAATCTCACTACCCCAAGATCATGACCTAAGCCAAAATCAAGAGCCGAGAGTTAATTGACCCAGCCACCCAGATGCCCCAATTGATTTTTTAAATTATCAAAGACCTATTATTGGTCTAAACAAGTAATATAGACACAAATTTGGCAAAAACTGGAAGTTTTCCCTTACCTCTCTATTTGCATTCTCTTCTACAGAGGTAATCTGAGAATAGTTCAGTATGTATCTTTCTAGATCTTTTCCTAGTAGATGTGAGACTGTGTGCACACACACAGGATTTTTAAAATACAGAAATGGAATTATGCTATATAGAGTTTTCCCCAACCTGCCCATATCATTTAACTTTATAGTATAAACCACCTTCTGTGTTAGTTAATATACAACAGGCTTCTTTTTCATGACTGCATGATAATCCATGGTATATAACGCTACCGTATAATCGAACACAGTTTGTTGCTGGGTGCTTCAGTTGCCTTTCATCTTTCTCTGTAACAACAATGCTGCGATTAGTTCCTTTGTGTACATGTCTTTGTGCCATCTGCCTGGCTTTGAGGATCACCACTGCCAGAAAAGTCCTGGCGCTAGGCTCCAGGTATGCACATTCCAGGGTATCTCTGCTACCTTCTGGACTCTTTCAGACCCTGGAAAGTCATCACCTCAGCTCAGTCCTGGCCTCTGCTCTTGCCCTGTCATTCTGTGGTTGTGTTCCCAGCATGCCTATGGGTATAAATTCTAATAACTCCACCATATCATGGAAAAGTGCAAAAAGTACCTAGTGTCCCTCCAGCCACTGGGAAGAAGGAAAGAGGAATAGCTCCTTCAAACACAATCTGGTTGGAGAAAGTATGAAAGTGGTTATCTATCACAATGGTTTTTGGGGCACCTGGGTGGCTCAGCGGTTGAGCATCTGCCTTTGGCTCAGGTCATGATCCCGGGGTCCCAGGATCGAGTCCCACATCAGGTTCCCTGCTTCTCCCTCTGCCTGTCTCTGTGTCTCTAATGAATAAACAAATAAAATCTTTAAAAAAAAATAGTTTTCAAGATTTTCAGTCTTTTGCTCCTGGGAGAGAATATGGGACTGAAACAGCAGTGAATCACTGAGGTAGAAGCTACAAGAGCTTCAGGGCTGGTACAAGTGCTCCAGAGCAGCAGAGAGAGTGAGCGAGTATGGTGTGTGTGCATGTGCTTAACTCTGAACCAAATGTCCTTGGCCCATGGACAAAGATTGCCAACCCTTGATCTAATATGTTGTTGTACTCTTGTCCTTTAAGATTTTCAAGCACCATGGTCCTGCAAGAAGCAATAATGGCTAATGAGAAGCAGACAGTACCCTGGGAAACAGGAAATCTGGTTCCATTTATGACTTCACCAGGGCTTGCCAGGGAATTCTGAGCAGCTTTGGTTTGCTGCTTCATGCCCCCTCTTTCAGAGGTGCCATCTGCACCTCCAGCATGCAGGGGTTAGGTTTCTTGTTTTTCCTGCAAAATAGTGCTAGTGTTAAAAATGCGACAGTCATGGTTGTTTTGGCAGCACATTTACTAAAAAAAATTGGAACGATACAGAGAAGATTAGCATGGCCCCTGCGTAAGGATGAATGCAAATTTGTGAAACATTCCATAAAAAATAAAATTAAAAAGGGAGCTTTTTCATTTCGATGAGCTGTTTTCTGTTTGGCTTATCCTGCTTGGATGTTTCCTTTTCTATGTTTCCTTTTCCGTACTTTTTGGACACACAGAAAGAATACATGTTCTTAGTACTGGAGGCAAGGAATGAACTTCCTGGGGGGCAGCCCTCCTGAAATGTATTCTTGCATGCACAAATGCAAAGGCAGCTGTTGACCTGCTCTCTTTCTCTCTCTCTCTCTCTCTCTGCTTTGGAAATTCTTTGGGGAATGGTAATGTGGTCACTGTTAGAGCAAAGCAACAAACAAATCTGCTGTAATCAGGGATAAGCTACATTTGGGCAGTTCTAAAGTTTGCTTTAAATCCAAAGTGATTTATTTAGACAAATCCATATTTTAAAATTATTTTCTTGAAATGTAACAGATACTGAAAAGCACATGCACTGTAAATGTACAGCTTAGTGAATTTGTACAAAGTGTACACACCTATGTTACCCTGGTAACCACTGCATAGGTCACAAAGTAGAATGTTAGAGGCACCCTAGAGGACCACTGCCCCACCCCCCACCCCTATAACTCGTCCTTGAGATATAAGCACTAAACTGACTTTCAACACTATGTGTTTGCCTGTTTTTTCTTTTTTTTTTTAATTTTTATTTATTTATGATAGTCACAGAGAGAAAGAGAGGCAGAGACATAGGCAGAGGGAGAAGCAGGCTCCATGCTGCTTCCATCCGGAAGCCCGATGTGGGATTCGATCCCGGGTCTCCAGGATCGTGCCCTGGGCCAAAGGCGCCAAACCGCTGCGCCACCCAGGGATCCCTGTTTTTTCATATTTTGTATAGATCTTGGTCACTTACTCGGATTACTCTATGGTATTCCATGATAGAAATATGCCACAGTTTATGTTGATGAGGTTTGGGGTTGTTTTCTGTTTTGGCTATTTCAAATTATGCTGGTATGAATAGTATTGCACCTATCTATTGATACTCATTCCCTCATTCCTGTTGCACACGTTCCTACAAGTGGAATCACTAGCTCACAGTGTTTGCATATACATTCAGCTTTAATGGACCCTGGAAATAGCAGTCAATGAGAATTAGGAATGTATTTTTGATAGGGGACAAAGCACAAAGCTAAAATCAAGCCCCAGGTTTCTGATCTCCTCTAAGGCTTGGATTACAGAGGAGCCAGAGCAAAGCCCTTACCCCGTGTTTCCTCAGCTGTAAATAGGAAGTAATTAGTACCGGCTCTATTACTTGCTGTAGGATGGAAAAGCCCTCTGCAAAATTTCAAGCTGCACAAATGGAAGTTGTCATTAAAATGGAAGCAGGGAAGGGAGATTTTTAATTATTAATGAGAACTAAAGAATATACTTATGTGGATTTCCATTCCCAATTAAGAATCCAGAGACTAGATTAACTGGTAAGCTAGACAGAGTTGTATTGCCAAAGGGGCCTGCACTATTATTCTCTCAAACCCAGACACAATAAGTAACTTCCCAAACCCATCCTCTGTATCTTGCTGAAAGATTCCTCAGCCGCCCCAGGGGTCCTCCCAAGTCTCTCTCTCAGGCGCCAAATGCCCTAGCTTTTTTCTTTCCTTCCCCCTGCATCAGCCTGCGTTGGCTTACTCTAGAGAAAACTGGTTTGGTTCTGTCTGACTGAACCAGTTATAATGTACCAGGAAAGCCAAAGGACACAATCCTTCCATGTCTTCCTGCATTGTTGAACGTAAAATGTGAGTATTGTCAATGAGGTTATTTGGTCTCCCAGTACAACTAAAAGCTCACAGCATTTATTTTACCAAAGGCTATGCTAAGCTAAATCAGGGACTGTAAAAAATAACAGTTGAAAGTGGTGTCAACATTTTTTTCCATCTTACTGGTTCCCTCGCAGATGGTTACACAAGTAGAAGGCAGTGCCCTCTTCTGGCCAACCCCACACTTGCATGGCTGTGGTTAAGGGGATTGCCAGCTCCTGGGACTGGGGTTTAACTTGGGAGGGAGCTGGCTCAAATGTGAGCAAATCACATTTGGAGATCCACCTTCTCTTTCTTCAAAAGAGAAAACTCAGAACTGTGACGGTTGCATTGTATGTGTGATTAACATTTAAATCGATAGACTTTTTTTTTTTTTTACCTCCATAATGCAAAAACTAGGTTTCTTGAAGAATAAAGAAAGTCTGCTTCATGACTGCAGAAATAGAAACCTGGCTAAGTGTTTAGCCTTCAGATTTTAAATACAAGGCTACAACATCAACTCTTCCCTGAATTTCTAGCTTGCCAGCCTGCTCTGCAAATTCCAAACTTGTCAGCCCCCACAATCCTGTGAGCCAATTCTTTAAAATAAATCTGTGTGTGTGTGTGTGTGTGTGTATCTTTTAGTTTTGTTTCCCTGGAAAACCCTAATACAAAACCTAACTCCAAAGCCCATTTTTATCAGTGACATCTCATTTGGATAAATATAAGAGTACACAAAGTATTGACCTTCTGAGTTCAGGTTCAAGTCCCAGTACCATCTCATTTACTAGTTTCATAAACTAGCTACTTAATTATACTTCGCCTTGGTATCTTCATTTGTATAAAGGCAGAAATAGTAACATTTACTGAAGAGACTGTTGTGAAGATTAAGAGAAAATATGTGCTTAGAAGAGAGGGACACCTGGGTGGCTCAGCGGTTGAGCATCTGCCTTTGACCCAGGGTGTGATCCTGGAGTCCTGGGATCGAGTCCCACATTGGGTTCCCTGCGTGGACCCTGCTTCTCCCTCTGCCTGTGTCTCTGCCTCTCTCTCTGTGTGTCTCTCATGAATAAATAAACGAAATCTTAAAAAAAAAAAAGAAAAGAAAAAGAAAAGAAATTGGCTCAGAATAAGTACTCAACAGGTGTTAGTAGTAATTATTATTAATTATTATTATTACTAAGGTCATAAAAACTGTCAAAGAAGGATGACTTACAGGATGAGGGGTACATGGAAGAGTAGCTAGTCTCATTCACTCCCCCACCCCTTTTCCCCCAGACCCTCAAGTATAGTCTCTGCTTTTCACTATCTCTTCCTGGGTGATATTATAAAGCCATTTCTTGTAAAGTGTCCTGTCTTGGGCAGCCCAGGTAGCTCAGTGGTTTAGAGCCACCTTCAGCCCAGGGCGTGATCCTGGAGACCTGGGATCGAGTCCCACCTCGGGCTCCCTGCATGGACCCTGCTTCTCCCTCTGCCTGCCTGTGTGTGTGTGTGTGTGTGTGTGTGTGTGTGTCTCATGAATAAATAAATAAAATCTTAAAAAAAAAAAAGTGTCCTGTCTCTTCCTATAGGAACCCAATCAGGATTAAAAGTTGGATTCCACCTTTCATGAAGATGCGCCAAAGGCGAAGAAGGAAGCCTCTGCCCCTCCCAAAGCCGAAGCCAAAGCCAAGAAAGCGGTGCTGAATGGCGTGCACAGTCACAAAAAAAAAGAAAATTCGCACGTCACCTACATTCCGACGACACAAGACCCTGCGTCTCCGAAGGCAGCCCAAATATCCTCGAAAGAGCACCCCCATGAGAAACAAGCTTGATCACTATGCCATCATCAAGTTCCCCTTAACTACTGAGTCAGCCATGAAGAAACCATTATTATTTTACAAAAGCAAACTTCAGTAAATCTTGATAATCATTTAACACAATAAAATTATTCTAAGTCCATAAATTTTAATAAATTTAAATTTAATACATTTTAATTTTAATTTTAATTTTCACTCCATGACACAATTTACCATTTAATTAGCAGTTTTGTTTGCCTCCCCACAATTTAGAAGGACTTCTGTGAGATGATTTGATTGGTCAAAAACTTGTTTTTAAAGTTAGCCAAGTAGTTTTCTCCAGGTATAAGGATTTTGGTTAATTTGTATATATCAACATATATATTTGTATATATTTATCTGTGCATTATTCAGTGATTCACCAGAAGGACCCACAGGACTCAATGAGATTTATCATAGCAAAGGATACAAAGCAAAAGTGGCAGGAAAATGATAAGCACACATGAGGTCCAGAGATATTCAACACAAACTTGTAATGTCTTTCCTGGTCCAAATATTCCTTATCTGAGGCCAGACGGGAGTACTCTTTTTATCTTGCCATTAACTCTGGGACATGTTAATGTCCCACAGAATGTCTGGCCAGAGAAGTTTATTTGTCTCAGAGTTTAAAGGTTTTATTGGGGGCTGGTCACATAGGTATATTCTGCTATGTATGCAACCAACTATGGTGATCAAAACTCAACCCGAACAATGAAACATGTTATTGATCTTGATGTTTGTGCAAAGCAACCTTAGAAGCACTTATGGTATGGTCCATTGGCCAGGAATATATATCAAATCCATCAACTACTAACACAGAGAACACTTTTAAGGGCTGCCAAGAGTTTTTTTTTTTTTTAATTATTTATTTATTTATGATAGTCACACAGACATAGAGAGAGAGAGGCAGAGACACAGGCAGAGGGAGAAGCAGGCTCCATGCACCGGGAGCCCGATGTGGGATTCGATCCTGGGTCTCCAGGATCGCGCCCTGGGCCAAAGGCAGGCACCAAACCGCTGCGCCACCCAGGGATCCCAGGGCTGCCAAGAGTTAATCAGAGTTTCCTTTGGGGGGGAAAAAAAAAGACATGTAAAGAGCAAGCAACCAGACCTGCTGTGTTAACTCTTCCCTCACAGTCTGTATTTTCTAAAATGCCTATAATTAACCTCTATTACTTCTATAATGAAAAAAGTAATTATTAATATAAAGGCATCCAAAGTTAATGATATTCCTTTTTAGTTAATGATGTTGTTTTATAATCTCAGTACATTTCCCTGTAGTCAGCAGAGCTGCTGAGAGAAGTCAAGTCATCCTACTAGACATTTCATGAATGGCCATCAGAGCCTTCATACTCTCTTTGGGAAAACCATAAAAACAGGCTAGAATAAAGCATGTGAGACATAGTAGGAACGATGGCAACACCTAGTTCAACTTCCCCATCTTAGAGATGAGGAAGCAGAAATACTGAGCAATGAAAGGACTCATCTAAGTTTCTAAATCTTAGAACTTTCTATTAAAAACCTCTCTTGGAACTCCTGAAATGGGACAAGGCAATGTCTGCTCAGTTGCTTCTGTTTGTCTTTAACATAGCAGAAACTGGAGAAGCCCTGACTGGTGGGGCTGTCCGAACTGAGTGTGCATGTTCCAGTCTCATTTAGTCTAGACAGAGGCTTCCCATCCCTCCTCAATCCCCCCCCCCTTGTCCAGTGGCCTGACAGAAGCACCAGGACTCTATATCCAGAACCTATGCCACTGGGTCAATGGTCTAGTTTGGAGCCTTGCAAGATTTAGTTTCATTTTCACCAAATTTCTGCCTTTTCTCCCCTTCATTTACTCTCTTATAGGTTGGAGGGTGGTGTCTCTACTGGACTGCAAATTCCTTGAGGGCCTCCTTGAACCAGGACAATAAGAGGTTATGATTGTGGTTAGTGTGGGACCCAGGAAATTTAACAAAAATCCCCTACCCCTAGACAAGCAGAGCAGGACTAACTCCATTTTGTGCTACACCCGCCACCTCCTGTATGACCCCCACATGACCTGCTCATTGCTAAAGGCGCTCCCCCACCCTAGTCAAGCTGCTGGGCACACCCTGATTGGAAATCAGCTCATAACAATGTAACCCCGCCTTGTGCCTGCCAAAACTGCCCGCCAATTCTGACCAGAGTGATAGGCCAGTTCAAATGGTCACTATAGGGTGAATCGTAATTCAATTGGCCACCTGCGTGTGGGCCGACATGACTGTGCAACTTTCTGTGTATGTTACAATCCCACTGGCCCCCATAAAGCTGCTACACCTCTTAGCCTCGGAGTCCAAGTCCCTGCTCCACTGTATTGGGTATACTTGAACCCAAGCTCGAGCTTATAAATAAACCCTCGTGTGTTTGCATCAGTGTCGGCTCCTTGGTGGTTTCTCGGATTCACAATCTTGGGCACAACATTTGGGGGCTCGTCCGGGATCCGAGAGACCTCCAGGACCCCATCCGGAGGGTTTCACGCGTGGTGAGTGCACTCAACTTTTTCTACCTTTTGCGCGCACATTCTCTGAGAGCTCTAAACTGTTCTTTTACCTGTAGGAATTCCAATCTGTATTGGGTCGGCATTGGCTTAGGCGGACACGCCGGCGGGCCGTCGACTGGGGGTCTTAAGGAGACGTCCCTTTCCCCCGCCTGGAGGACAGGGTCTTCATCTGTAAGGAGGACGGAGGTCCTCATCTGTAAGGAGGATGGAGGTCCTCATCTGTAGGAGGACAGGAGTCCTCGTCTGTAAGGAGGACAGGGGTCCTCATCTTTAAGGAGGGCCGGCTGCCAGCCCTTTGGGTTACTTTCTGTTTTGTCTCCACGGCTGCACTGGAACGTTGGTCTGTGTTACTATGTCCTTGTTAACTGTTTGTGCATTTGTCTGCGTTGTTGGGTCCTTGTTAATCGTCTTTACTGTCTGTGTCTTGGTATGGATTGGGGACATAATGGGGGAGACAGAAACCACTCCCCTGTCTCTTATGCTCTCCCACTTCTCGGATGTTAGGGAAAGAGCTCATATTCTGAGCATAGACATACGGAGAGAGAGATTCCAAATTTATTGCATATCAGAATGGCCAACCTTTGATGTGGGATGGCCCCGAGAAGGAACTTTCCATCTACCTATTATCTTACAGGTTAAGGCGGTGATCTTCAGGGACAAACCGGATGGCCACCCTGACCAGGTGCCCTACATCCTGATCTGGCAGGACATGATGGAGAATCCCCCTCCTTGGCCAAAAGCATTTTTACCCCCCAAAGCACACAACTCGGCTGAAGGTAAGGAGAAACCCTGGGTCCACCGCCAGACTCTAGGGGCAGGTCTCCAGGCTGCCGCGCGCAAGCCTCCCAATCCGGCCAAGGTCTATGATGTGAGACAGGGTAAGGATGAGAGTCCAGCAGCCTTCTTAGAGAGAGTCATAAAGGCTTTTAGGCAGTACACCCTATAAACCCAGAAGCCCCGGAAACAAAGGCCGCAATTATCATGGCTTTTGTTAACCAGGCCGCTCAGGACATTAAAAAGAAATCGCAAAGAGTAGTGAGACTGGGAGAGAAGAGCTTACAGGACTTAGTGATAGTAGCAGAACGAGTCTATAATAATAGAGAAAGTCTGGAAGAACAACAAACCAAACTAAGTGACCAGGAGACCCGAAACCTGGCCAAGATCCTGCTGGCCACAACCATGGATGACCCACGGGACAGATGGAGGGACCTCAAGAAGCTGGCTTCAGGGACAGGTAAGGAGGATGGCCCTGGTCCCCTTCGGGAGCCCCCTAGGCTGAACAAAATCAATGTGCTTATTGCAAAGAAGAGGGCCACTGGGTGAAAAGCTGCCCTAACAAAAGATCTAAGGCCCCTGCCAAGATCTTGGAAATGGAGGACCTGGATGATTAGGGGAGTTGGGGTTCGACACCCCTCCCCGAGCCCAGGGTAACTCTCGGAGTGGAGGGGCAACCTGTTGAATTCCTAGTGGACACTGGGGCACAACATTCGGTTTTATTACAACCCCAAGGGAAATTGGCAAACAAGACTTCACAGGTGCAAGGGGCCACGGGCACCAAACAGTACTCATGGACTACCTGAAGAACTGTGGATCTCGGCATGCGCCCGGTATCCCACTCCTTCATGGTCATCCCTGAGTGCCCTTACCCGTTGTTAGGTCGGGATTTGCTCACCAAGATGGGGGCACAAATTTGCTTCTACCCCGAGGGGGCAAAAGTCCTAAACAAGGAGGGGCACCCGATTCAGGTGCTTGTCCTGAGTTTAGAAGACGAATATTGTCTCCACCAACAACCCTAAATCTGGCAACGCTACTCCCTAACCCAGACTGGGACCCCCCTCTGCATGACTGTCAAGAAATTTTGGCACAGGTGCACGGAATCAGAGCTGATCTCCAGGACCAGCCACTGCCGAACGCGGACGCCACCTGGTACACGGAGGGCAGCAGTTTTGTCCGAGAAGGAGTCAGATATGCGGGGGCAGCCGTAACCAGGGAGACGGAGACCCTCTGGGCAGAGCCACTGGCAGCCGGAGCGTCAGCTCAATGGACAGAACTGACCGCACTGGCCAAGGCGCTGACCATGGGGGAAGGTAAACGAATCAACATCTACACCGACAGCAGGTGCGCCTTCGCCACCGCTCACGTCCACGGAGCCTTCTACAGAGAGAGGGCTCCTGACAGCAGAGGGAAGGACTGTTACAAACAAAACGGAGATTCCTGAACTCCTGAGGGCCCTCTGGCTGCCCAAGGCCCCAGCCATCATCCACTGTCTGGGGCACCAAAAGGCAGACACGCCAGTAGCCAGGGGAATCCGGGGAGCCGATTTAAAAGCAAAGGAGGCCGCCCTTTTGGTGACCCAGGTCTTAGCAACCACGCTACCCGATCCGGGGGCACGGACCCTGCTCGACACCCCCAACTATACTGATGCTGACTTACACTGGATCAAATGCTTGCCCGTGACCCAGTGCTTGCGTGGCTGGTGGAGGGGCGCAGACTCCAGCATCATCCTGCCAGAGGAACTAGGACAGCGAGTCCTATCCAAAATGCATCGGAGCACTCACATGGGGACAAGGAAGATGGAAGACCTCACACGACATGCAAAGATCACTATTAAAGACTCTCGAGCAAAGATCGAGCAGATTGTGGCGAGCTGCCACGCATGCCAGTTAACTAATGCCACCGCCCATGGATCTAACCTGGCACCCGGCTCCGGGGGCTACAGCCCAGGAGCCTACTGGGAAGTGGACTTCACTGAGGTAAAACCTGGAAAATGTGGGTACAAGTATTTACTAGTGTTTGTAGATACTTTTTCAGGATGGACAGAGGCATTTCCTACCAAACATGAAACAGCACAGACCGTGACCAAGAAACTGCTGGAAGACATCTTACCGAGGTATGGTTTTCCTGTTAGGATTGGATCAGACAACGGCCCAGGATTCGTCTCTAAGGTAATACGGGGAGTGGCACTAGTACTTGGGGCACACTGGAAATGACATTGTGCACATAGGCCCCAGAGCTCAGGACAGGTAGAGGATGAACAGAACATTAAAGGAGACCTTAACTAAATTAGCCCTGGAGACTGGCAGGGACTGGGTGACTCTCCTCCCCTTCACCCTATATAGGGTGAGGAATTCCCCCATATAAGATGGGACTGACTCCCTACGAGATCCGAACGAGATCAGTTCGGTCTTCCTCCACCTATAATCCCCAATTTAAAACCTGAGGTGCTTGCTGAATTTGATGATCACCAACTTCTTTTCTCCCTCCAAATGTTGCAACGAACCCATGAGCAGGTGTGGCCTAAGCTGAGGGCCCTCTCCGAGACTGGGCCATCCCCAGACCCCCATCGATACCGGCCAGGTGACTGGGTGTACGTGCGGAGATACCAACACCAGACACTTCAGCCTCGCTGGAAGGGACCTTACATCGTGATCCTGACCACTCCCACCGCTCTCAAGGTCGACGGGATTACTCCCTGGGTCCACTACACCCATGTCCAGCCAGCTGACCCACACGCCGTTCTCAAGGACTTTGTTCCAGAACGGAAAGGCCAACCGGACAAGGACAATCCCCTAAAGCTAAGACTGTGCCGTTCTCACTTATTTCCCACCTCCAAGACTCCCTAGTCTGAGGTTGTCCTTCAAAATAAAAGGGGATTATACTTAGTCTTCTTACAACAAAGGGGGGGCGGGTTATGTGCTGCCTTAAACGTAGGATGTTGCTTCTTCACTGAAATGTAAATGGGAGCGAGAGCAGCAATAAGGTGGTTCGAATCCTGGTTTAATCATTCCCCCTGGCTGACTACCATGTTATCCTCCCTGGCCGGCCCACTCGTCATCCGCCTCCTCTTTCCAACCTTTGGACCCTGCCTCATTAATAGACCAGTAGCGTTTGTCAAGGACCAAGTCAATACAGTCCGACTCATGGTACTCAGGCAACAGTGCCAACCACTGCCTCTTTCGACAGAAACCCAGAACCATGATTGGGTCCTGCATAGGATCCTCTGAAAAAGGGGGGGATGTGGGACCCAGGAAATTTAACAGAAATCCCCTACCCCTGGACAAGCAGAGCTGGACTAACTCCATTTTGTGCTGCACCCGCCACCTCCTGTATGACCCCCACATGACCTGCTTATTGCTTAAGGCGCTGCCCCACCCTAGTCAAGCCGCTGGGCACACCCTTACCGGAAATCGGCTCATAACAATGTAACCCTGCCCTGTGCCCGCCAATTCTGACCAGAGCGAGAGGCCAGTTCAAATGGTCACTATAGGGTGAATCGTGATTCAACTGGCCACCTGCGTGTGGACCGACATGACTGTGCAACTTTCTGTGTATCCCATTGGCCACTGGCCCCTATAAAGCTGCTACGCCTCTTAGCCTCGGGGTCCAAGTCCCTGCTCCACTGTGTCGGGTACACTTGGACCCAAGCTCGAGCTTGTAATAAACCCTCGTTTGTTTGCATCGGTGTCGGCTCCTTGGTGGTTTCTCGGATTCGCAATCTTGGGCACAACAGGTAGCAAAGTCAAATGGTCCAAGGTTTGAATTCTGGCTTAGCATCTCATTGGCTTGTGTAATTTGAGTGAGTAACTTAACGGAAATCATAATACCTCCTTCATAAGGTTGTTGGGAAGATGAAAGGAAGAAATAACTTAAAAAAAAAAAAAAACAAGTTCCAAGGGATCCCTGGGTGGCTCAGGGGATCCCTGGGTGGCTCAGCGGTTTAGCACCTGGTTTGGCCCAGGGTGTGATCCTGGAGTCCCAGGATCGAGTCCCACATCAGGCTCCCAGCATGGAGCCTGCTTCTCTCTCTGCCTGTGTCTCTGCCTCTCTCTCTGTGTCTCCCATGAATAAATAAATAAAATCTTAAAAAAAAAAAAGAGTTCCAGCTGCTCCACATCCTTGATAACAGTTAGTGTAGTCAGTCTTCCAAAAGGTATCTCTATGTGATTTTAATTTTAATTTCCCTAATGACATTTTATTTGTTTGTTTGTTTATCTGAGGAGTGTGCAGAGGGCTTAAGCAGGCTCCATGCCTAGCACAGAGCCTGATACAGGGCTCCATATCACAAACCTCAGATCATGATCTGAGCCAAAATCAAGAGTCAGATGATTAACCAACTGAGGTGCCACCGACGTGCCCCATCTAATGACATGGTAAATGTTTTTTGTTTTGTTTTGTTTTTGCCACTTATGTGGCAAAATTCATCTTTTTGATGAATTGTCTGTTCAAATCATTTGTCTATTTTATCTGGGGATTTGTTTTTTGTTTTTTAAAAGATTTTATTTATTCATGAGAGAGAGAGAGAGAGAGGCAGAGACACAGGCAGACAGAGAAGCAGGCTCCATGCAGGGAGCCTGATGTGGGACTCAATCCTGAGACTCCAGGATCATGCCCTGGGCCAAAGGCAGGAGCTAAACCACTACCCAGGGATCCCGGGATTTGTTTTCTTATTGCTGAATTTATAAATCCTTTATGTGATTTACAAATATTTTCTTGAAGTCTGTAACTACTCTTACCATTTTCTTAGCAGTATCTCAAAGAACAGAACTCCTTAATTGTAAAGAAGTAAAATTTGTCAATTTTTTTCTTTTATGGATTGTGCTTTTGGTATCCTAATCCAAGGATCTTTTCTATAATAAATCACTTTACATGTTTGTTGGAAATCAATTTACCGTGTATATGTAGGCCTGTTTCCACTCAGTTTTTTTCCTAGAGATTTATTTTTATGCCAATACCATACTATCTTGATTACTGTAGCTTTCCCAAATTTGTTTAGCTATTTTATTTATTTATTTAGCTATTTATTTATTCATTTCCAAATGAATTTTAGAATTATCTTGTCAATTTTTACACAAAAAAATGCTGGGGTTTTAATTAGGATAGCATTGAATCTATGTGAAAATTTAGAGAGAACTATCTTCTTAACAATATTGAGTCCAAAATTAAGTCTTCTGGTCCATGAATATAGAATATTTCTTCATTTATTGAGGTTTCTTTAATTTCTCTGTTATGTTTTGTAGATTTCAGGGTACAGGACTTACACATCTTCGTCAATTTATTGCTATTCATTTGATATTTTTCGTAGTAGGGTAAATGGTATGTTTTCAATTTCTTTTTTTTTTAAGACTTTATTTATTTATTCATGAGACACACACAGAGAGAGAGGCAGAGACACAGGCAGAGGGAGAAGCAGGCTCCGTGAAAGGAGCCTGATGTGGGACTCAATCCCAGGACTCCAGGATCATGCCCTGGGCCAAAGGCAGACACTCAACTGCTGAGCCACCCAGGGATCCCTGTTTTCAATTTCAATTTCCAATTGTTCACTAGGATACAGAAATACACTTTATTTTTATATATTGGAGTTGCATCCAGCAACCTTACTAAACTCACTTACTAGTTTTAATAGCTATTTTTATAGACTTGATAGGATTTTCTGCATTGACAATTATGTCATCTATGAATAGACAGTTTTATTTCTTCATTTCCGATCTGATTGTCTTTTATTTCTTTTTCTTGCCCTGTTGCATTGGCTTGAACCAGTACAATTCAAGTAGAAGTGGTGAGAACAGATGTCTTTGCCTTGTTTCTAATTTTAGAGGGAAAGCACTCAGACTTCCGCCATTTAGTTTATTAGCTGTAGATGACCTATAACCAGTTGAGGAAGTTTCTTTCTATTCCTAGTTGGCTAAGATTTTTTTTTTTTTTACTTATTTATTTTAGAGAGAGGGCAAGCACGCACATGATCAGGGGGAGAGGCAGAAGAAGAGGGAGAGAGAGAGAGAGAGAGAATCTCCACCAGACTTGCGACTGAATGTGAAACCCAGCTGAGATCATGACCCGAGCTGAAGTCAAGTCGCATGCTTAACTGAGTGAGTTACCCAATGTTGGATTTTGTCACATATTTTTCTGCATCTATTTATTTGATTTTTATTTTTGTCTCTCATATTATGGTAAATTACAAAGACTGATTTAAGGATAGCTTTACTGAGAGACAACTCATATAGCATAAAGTTAACCCTTTTGGAGTATGCAATTCAGTGGTTTTACTATATTTGCAGAGTTTTGCATCCATCACTACTGCCAGATCTCATAACATTTTCATTACTCCAAAGAGAAACTCCATTCCTATCAGAAGTCAGTCCCAATTTCACCCTTTCTCCCCAGGCCTTGGCGACCACAAGTCTATCTTTATGGATCTGCACATTCATATAAATGGAATCATACTCAATGTAGTCATCTGTGACTGGCTTCTTTCACTTGGCATAATGTTTTTAAGGTTCCTCTAAGTTACAATACATATCAGTATTTTGTTCATTTTCATGGCTGAATGATATTCCACAGTGTGGATATACCACATTTGTTTATCCATTAATCAGTTAATGGACATTTGGTTTGTTTCCACTTTTTAGCTATTATGAATCATGCTGTTGTGAAAATTTATTACAAGTGTTTGTGTCAACATATGTTTTCATTTCTCTTGAATATACACCTAGGAATAGAATTGCTGGATCATATAATCAGTCTATGTTTAACCCTTTAGAGAATTGCCCTACTGTTTTCCAAAGTGGCTGTAATATTGTGAGGAAGACTTAAACTACCACTTCAATTTAACAGATATGAGCTATTTAGATTATTTATTTCTTCTTATTTATTTATTTATTTATTTATTTATTTATTTATTTATTTCTTCTTGGGTGAATATTGATAGTTTATGTCTTCCACAGAATTTGTTCCTTTCATCAAAGTTGTTGAATTTATCAGCATATAGTGGTTAATATTTCCTTAGTCTTCTTTTAGTATCTTTATAATGTGTAGTAATATCTTTCTTGACATTGATAATTTTTTCCCTGATCAATGTAGTCCAAGTTTATCAGTGTCATATATATATCAGATGTTTTAAAAATCTTTGTGTCACTCTGTCATGCGGAAAATTACCTTTATTCAATAGTAGGCTCCAAGTACACTGTGAGGGAAGCTATCTCAGAGTTCATGGAATATAAAGGCTCATACACTAAAGTAAAATGCTTGGATCACATTGTTTATTAAATCAATGTAAAACACACTGAGGGAAGCAAGGGGCAGGGGGAGATTGGCTAAATTAAATATTTAGGATAGGGGGACGTCTGGGTGGTTCAGCAGTTGAGCATCTGCCTTTGGCTCAGGGCGTGATCCTGGAGTCCTGGGATCAAGTCCCACATCGGGCTCCCTACATGGATCCTGCTTCTCCCTCTGCCTGTGTCTCTGTCTCTCTCTCTGTCTCTCATGAATAAATAAATAAAATCTTTTTTAAAAAAGAAGTAAATACTTCGGATAGGGAACAAGTGGTATTGATAGGAGATGCTGCTGAAATCCTGAGGTATGTGATGTTCTCTCTCTCTGCTGCATCAGCTTTTCCTGCTGCAGATATGAAGACAAGAATTGAGGTTCCAGCAAGGGGGTCCTGGATCAATGTTACTTCTGTTGGAGAGATGCAATTAGCTACAGTTGTAGCTTGTCAAGTAGTCTGTTGAACAGCCATGGAAGCCTCATGGAACCAAACTAGGTATAGCTAGTGGGTTGTTGAATTAAGGATTCATGAATATTGATATTTAATATATAGTGAATATATAGTGTCTAGGTGCCCCTCATGTGTGTTTATTACTTCAGGTACTCTTGGATCTGTAGCCCTTTTCATTGATGTTTAACCCACACATGCTCTAATTACTAATTACTGATCTATACTTGATGCATCTTGTGAGTTCATCCACCCATTTCTTATTTTCCATAGAACTGAATATTTTGCAACTATACATCAAATGTACTAAGCCCTCCCCCATTAGTGCTGCTTCTTTCTGTGACACACTTACTTTGCACATAGTATCCACTAAATAAATGTTAAATAAAAAATAAACAATGCCCTCAGGTTGTCTTGCCTTAGAGACACACTTACTCAAACAGAGTTCCTGTAGTTACATATGTGTGGGAAATATTGGGTTTCTTTGCTATAGGATTTGTTAGTGCCTTAACACACTACTGTGGTGGTATCTTTCTGTAAGTGGATGTCACATGTAGTGTTC